AGCAAGATATATGTTCAGCATGGGCAGACATTTCTATGTAATGATGATCGACAGCCATTGTCATCATGTTCTCTGTATTCCAACACTAATTGTTAAATCAAATTTTAGTAAATGAACAAGCAATATGTAAGCATCCAAGATATACTGTAATGCATTTATTCAATTTCTGATCAGAAGACACCAAGAAGACATATTGTTTTCTTCCACACCTGTATATAAAAACGGAGGCAAGGATAGTTGATGCGCAAAATGCAAAGCCTCTCAACTATCAAACGACAACCCGGCCTTCACGTGGTGCCCCCCGATCCCACCAATCAGGCTCTGTCGACCCTTGGGGCTGGCGTCCCCTTGGGCATATCCAGCTGAAACAGCTTCCATGGATCGCCGTACAGTGGCGTCAAATTTCCATGGAAGTCGCCTATACCCACGATGGGTGAAGAGGCGTCAAGCAAGCAAGCAAGCAAGATTTTAGGAAGTTGAAATCCAAACATTGGGGGATACTAGACGAAGAAGGCAGTTTTATGAATGACAAAGATATGAAAATATATGTACATAGAAACATAATCACAATACCTGGTACTTACTCAGGGGTCATGCTTGTCATGACTAATGTTCTCAAAGGCTAAAGATTTAAAGAAAGAAGGAAAAATAAATCAACATATTTGTTTGTCCAATTCTGGTGAAATCTAAATCCTACAAAGATTAAAGCTTTTTCATAGATCTCAACATTTAGAAAGCAAACTGTAGCTTCTTGTCGTAAACACACTCGCATGAAGGAATCCTTTGTACACATGAAGGGTATCTTCATGTATGGAATTCCTGAGTAGCCCTCAATTCTCTGCTGCAAAGTTAGAGGGTACCACTGTATATCTCTCATTGCTAAACATAAAAAACACTTCTATGATCCTTGAACATATTTTCTTCAACATTTAGTAGGGAAGAAAGAACATTGTAAGAACAGTGTATTATAAAGATGGTAGGGTCACCTGAACAAAAGACTATTGCTGGAAAATAGCTTTGATGGTCTAGTACTTTTAATCTATAGCTATCTAAGATAATTCAACATGAGATTGCCATGCTTTAACTGCAAATATTTGTGTCCACGATTTACAGAAAAGATTCACCCATTCTAATTGAATATTCTAAATGCATCAAATAGAATTGGCTTTCTGAAATTTGTAAAATCTTTCCCCATATGTGAAGCTCATTTTATTTTATTATTGTAAAATGATGCGCTATATCTTCCGTAACTAGACTGCTGAAAAGCTATACAGAATTCAGTACATGCAAATTATAGACATGGCATTTCTTCAATAATAACAGTAGTTCTTCCAACTACTCAAAGAATACAATGTTCTACCTAAACACACTGCTTAGATTTCAACCATGTGGAAAGGTCTGTATGGTAAATAAACAGATCATTTGATTGACCTTGAGAAGAATCCACATACTACGGTAGAAAACGAAATGTCTTGTGACAGATGCTTCTTAAAAACTTGACGCTACTCATTGGAGAGTTTAATGAATTTTTGTTTCCATGAATTAGACAGGAGAGTGAGTGGATGGGTGAAAAGACAATCTTTAGTTTAGGTGAAAACCCTCCTGCTATTAAGGTGGCTGACGATGGCTCTGAACACTCCAATATTTGACTTACAGAAAAATAAAATGATTATAAAGTATAGGATCCATTTCATGGGTGTAGCATGGCACACTGTGTTCTGCCAAATCAAATGTTGGTTTTACAAATATATTTATCCAGAAAACTTCAATTCTAAGAATATGTAATAAAATGCTGCAGAGTTCAGAGTAGCTTGTCCAATCATGTTCTCCCTCTGGGTAGATTAGCTATTCAGTGGTTTGCTATGATTTTGTGTCCACTAAACATTAGATTTTATGGTTCCCATCTACATCTGCAGAATATATGGTCGGCCCAGACCTGACACAAAAAGACATCACTGAACCTGGGAAAAAGAATAAATGATAGGCACTTCCTTCTGCTGGTCTTACAGCCATCCTGTACCAACTCACCTTTTCGATTCTCCTAGTCATCTTTAATTTCCTATCAGGCTCATTCACATGGCTCCCCAAAGGTTCACAAGTAGTGTTTTTGGCATCAGTCGTTGAAAATCTGGCATTATCTAAAAACCAGATCCATTCAGAATTAATCCTAATCCATACTATGAAAAATGTAAATGCTGTCCAGGTATTAAGACAATTGCATTGCAATTAAGACAATGCATTGTTGCTGTATATTTTTCATAATCAGGCACAGTTCCTTGTTTTTTGTGTTTTCTCTACATTGTATGGCTTCTCTAAAAAAAAGAGTACCGTATTTTTCAGAATATAAGATGCACCTTAGTTTTGGAAAGGAAAATAGGAAAAAAAAATTCTGCCTACCAGGTAGCTTCTGGCTAGCATCCTCAGCCTGGTCAGCTTCAGCACATAGGTTTGCTGGTTTTGAGAGCGCATGCACACGCTTTCTATCCCCTGGTTGGGGATAAAAAACAGCTTCTAAAGCACAGCTGATTGTCGAAGAGAGAAGCAATGAGAAAAGCTGGGGAAACCTGGAAGATTGCTTCACTCGTTAGCGCCTTATTAGGACTGGAAAAAAGCTTTTAAAAGTTCATTCTGAGTATAAGACGCATCCAAATTTTCAGTCTCTTTTTTGGGGGGGAGTGCATCTTATACTCCGAAAAATACAGTAATTGCAGTTCTAAGTAAACATTTTAAAAATTATTTTAGATATGTAATATCTTTCAAAAAGTCACCTTTCATATTGATTTTTTACAGATCCTAATTTGAATTTTAAAAATGAATATTTCCTTTTATTTATCTTTATGGCAGGCAAACCAGTAGAGTTTTCCAAGATTATTCTCACAGTTTATTACATCTTCAAAACTTTTCATGGCAGAACTTTGTTAGATTTTCATTCTGCAACTTTATACTACTAGAAACAAACTCCCTTGAAATTGAAACAGCAGTGACGGACAAAGTATTTTAAAGTTGAATTGTTTACAGTTCGAAACAACTATTTAGATCTTTCTGGAAATGTTTCTGTTCAGTTTCAAACCAAATCTACTTCAAAGCAACTTATTCAGAACATTTTATAGAGCTACACACCTCTATAATACATATACTTCACATGTATTATTTGAATTCTAAGATGCCTGCTCTTAAATTCAGTGTTAGTTATAGCTGCGTTCATACATGGCTGCTCACTATCTTCAGGCCATATTCAATCTTATTTCCATCAACTAACAGATAAAACATAGTTATTACAACATGTAACATGACAGTAGCCTGAGCTTTATGGAATATATAATGAAGTCTTTGGCTGGATGGGAAAAACTGCTGTGAACATCAGATTTCCTGATATAAGATCTCTTGGCACAAAAAAGGAGGTATGTGCCCTAATATACCATGAAGTAAGAAAAGTCACTCTACTCTAGCTATACTGTAGATATTTTATGAACATATCTGTAGTATTGTTAAATATCTATTCATACCTATGAATATCATCTAGGAACAACTTTTTTTTTAAACTCACAATGTATTAAGCACTTCTATAACTACCCTTTTAGGCTGCAAGAAAATGGGAGAGAAAGAAAATAGGGGAAAAAAGCTTATATTGTACATGGATATTCTAAGATTAGGATGGTATAAATGAAGGGATCACAGCCAGTGAAAACAATATCAGTAGTATGGCATTTTCTAGGCATGATTTGGCCACATTAACTTTTAAGAGTCTATTTTGGAATTGCTTCCCCAAACTCCAAGTACACGTTGATTTTAATGCAAATATAAGCAAGCTTTAAACACTGAGATATGCTTCACCTCTACAAGAAAACTCTTATATAAAAACATAGTTGTTGATAAAGTGCTAAGCTGCATCTGGGAACTGGCGTTCTTCAAATTCTAGCCAATATTTGATATTAACACTGTGCCAAAAAGGAAATGCATTATTAATCCTTTTATGGGACTTTGTAATATAAAGAAACATGGAAAAACATGTCTCCATTGCTGATCACTATAAAATGTGCCAGGTAAGTCTCTTACAATCAACCTTGGTAATGGCAACTATAGCTAATGAGGACATTTAATTCACACATAATCTTGTGAACTGATACTAGGGCAATGATGACAAATAAATGAAGTGATTTAGAGTCCTACTATTGCCATTAAAAAAGACTATTAGATTAGAAATGAAAAACTTAGACTCCAGCAGGCCCACAAATCATGTACAGATGTACATATTAAGTTGTAGTTTACTGAATTTGATATTACATTGACTAAAAAGTACATGCTCAGCAAATAATGCTACATGTAGAGTAATTAAAATGGTGTATCATAAAAACATCAGTACTTCTCTCCCAATGCATGATGCGTTTTTTTTAAAATATCAAGAGCTGTCCAGGAAAACAAATCTATAACATAATTGGAATTTAAACTTTGGCTTCAATGATTATAGAACCCATTGCCCTGGATTTGCTGGTAGTAAAGACAGCATGTACATTCTCTATAGTACAATAATGCACACAGTTCAAATAAACACATTTCCCATCTATACTTTTATTAATGCAAAATATCTAAATAGCAATACACTACATAGAAAATAAATCGCATTTTATATCCAAGTAGATATTTACAAAATATTTATAATAAATTTATAAACGAGTTAAAATATTGGTGCTCCTGGTAAGGAAATAATTTATATTTTATGCCCAGACTGAATAGTAACACATGTATTAACCATGCAAAAAATAGTTCAGAAGTATTGCTTTAAAATTTGCACAAGACACCACTTCTCTGCTACTTATTACAGAGCTACAGTATCTCTCCCTCCCTCCCCGAGTTTCTATAGCCTAAAAGAAAGACGTGGCTGCTTTAACAACCAGATATACTATGCTTGTGAGAAGCCTGTCTTAATTTTGTTTGAAACATGAGCAGCAGTATTCTATCTTACATATGAGATTCCATGCAGTCATAATATGTATATTAGATCAAGTATTACATATACAGAATGGAGCTCTTCTGCCACTCCTGGTTCTGTGTATTCAGTCCAATATAAAAAGTTACGTGTCTACAATTCTTCTAGAATGATACGTGAAGAAATCCTGAGGTCAGTTTTTATTACATTAAACTAAGAAAATGCATCTAAAGTAAACACTACAATCCTGAATGATTATTGGTTCCTATACTGACCAGAATAAATGTATTATTTTCATAGTTAAAGGTTACAATCAGTGTAACTTACAGCAATAGATTGACATTAATAGATAAAACAACCAAGTTTTAATTTCCATATGTAAATCAGATTTCAATTCTGACTAACCTTTGATTTTAGATGAAATAGAACCTAGTTAACTGAAGACTCATATAATCCAATCTGTACTTATTAACTGATCTATGTCAAGATCCTGAGTTTAATTTAGTTTGAATAAACATGCACAGAATTAGACTATAACATTACAATCTGTTGTAGTCCTTGGCTCAGTTATGTGGAAACACATTACAGTTCACTAAATTTTGCAGCCCGTGGAACGCTGAGCAATCAAGTGCATAAGCAGTGAAGAGCTTTCTCCTTTAAAGGAATATCACCAAATAGATATGTATGACAGCAAGACTTTTTTTTACCAGACTCCAGAAATCCACCTGAAAGCTGATGTCGCTAATCTAATTATGAAACGCTTCGCATCTCTTAGACAAAAGATTGAATATGAAATGAATTCTCCAAAAGCTGAGAATGCTACAGAATAAAGCTATCATTTTATAACAGAGAACCTATTTCACCAGTTAATTCCTGCAGAGAACCAAGATCATTCAATATGTAACTGAATCAAAAGAATACAGTAATTCTTTTCAGTAGACCGTGCCTTCATATATTTTTTATTGAAAATTATTTAAAATGTTATTTCACTTTCTGAACATCAAATAAGACTTCCCCATAGTTTGTGCTTCATACATCTATACACACACATCTTTCTTGAAATTAAGGCATTGTAAGACACTGTATTCACAGATCATTATTTTAGATGCATCAGCAAAAAGACATTGTTATATTTAGGAAGCCAAACATGAGTTATTCTCATAATTTATTTTAACATCTGTTAAAAATACTCAGACATTAAACCTGAAATTTTTGTACATAACTTTTTTCTAATACTTTATAAGTAGATTTTATAGAATGAACCTTTTTAATGAGTATTTTAAGATGCAGAATATATTTACTAGACAGCAGCATTACTATTGTAAAAAAAAAATCACATCATTAGGTATGCTTTCCAATAATGAAAACCTCATTGAGTCTACAGACATATTAAGCCTATACTGCCTTTGTTTCAGTGATTTTCAGGAATAAAATAACAATATTCACAAATTTTCAGTATACTCATTTTTGAGATTCTTAGATAAGATTTTAAGAATTTAAAGTTAGAATTTCTAATTTTCATTTGTTCAGCAAAATGTCCATAAAACTTAAATGTAGTCTTCTTCATATGAATTGTCCTTCTTTTAGAGCTGTAAATTTTCAAACTGTATTTTTTAAAAAATTTCCAGTTAATAACTTCGTGGCTGCAGTAAAATTTTGCTATACTGTATTTCAAACAGGTACTTCAAAATTCTTATTAACACTGGTTAAACTGTGGCTACATGGGGAACCAACATGAAATTATATGGATAAAATATTAAGTATTCAATAATATCCTATCATCAGACACATATAACAATTTTTCACTATTTTTTTCCTTCCGTATATTTAAACTGTATCTTTGGGTTTTTTAAAATAAAGTTAGAAAAATATTCTATACATAGAATAAATATTTTTATGCATAGAGTACCGTATTTTTCGGAGTATAAGATGCACCAAGGTTTTGAAGAGGCAAATAAAAAAAGTAGGTAGGTAAATAGAGTGGGAGAGACAGAGAGAGAAATACAGTAGGTAGGTAGGGAGAGAGAGAGAGGGTGTAGATAGGTAGGGAGAGGGATAGAGAGAAATACAGTAGATAGGTAAGGAGAGAGACAGTAGGTAGGTAGATCGAGGGAGAGAGAGAGAAATACAGTAGGTAGGTAGGTTGGTAGATGTTTCCAGGTGTATTTATCCATGTGCTGGAGAAGGAAATCACTGACAACTTGCAGCACCTAAGACTTGTTTCTGCTGGCACAGCACTTGATCAATCTAATTCTCACCAATCACTCTAACTAAAGAGCTTTCTGAAAAGGGAAAAAAAGTTTTTACATTCTGCAAACCTCTCAAAAACGGCCCGTTTCTTTAAAAAAAAGAAAAAAAAAGAGGCATGAATAGCCTTGGGGTGGCTTGCAGAGTGCTCCTGGAGGTGTGTGGGGGCTTAAAACGACCAAAAGAATTGCATGCATAGCCTTATGGAGGCTTATAGAGTGCTGCTGGGGGCTGGGTGGGGCAAAAAACGGCCCACTCTTTGCTCATTTTTGTCCGCCCCAGCCCCCAGGAACTCTCTGAAAGCCTCTATAAGAGCTTTCTTGCACATCCATTTTTGTGAAGGGGTGGGGCTTCAAGAAGCAAAAAAATGCTGTATTCGGTGTATAAGATGCACCTAGATTTTCAGCCTCTTTTTTGAGGAAAAAAGGTGCGTCTTATACTCCAAAAATACGGTATTTCCTTTTTCTAAATGAGATTCTAAAAATACCTCTGTAGTCAAATTATATTTTAGAATGAAGGTTTTCAGACATTTAAAATAATTCTGGGTGTTATTTTGCTGGACAATTATCTTTCAATAACAACTTACCAGCTGTAGAACTGGTTGTGATCTGTTCCCGAATGTTAGAATTTAAAAAACAGTCTGACGTTTCTACTGTGTTTCCATTTTCAGTGTTTGATGTACAATTTACACCTGTTTTTCTCCTTTGAAGAAATGTAGATAGCTTGGGCTCACTAACTGCATCTTCAGTAATTTCAGTCACTCTTCTCCTCTTTCTGTTGTGACTTGTAGTTACTGGACTAGAATTTTGGCACATACCTTCTAATTTGCTTCTGGGAGAATTATACTTAATTTCCTTGTCATTCTGTAACTTTTGCTGACATGGAAGAAGTCTTATTTTATTAGTAAAGTTAGAAGATGAAAAACAATCTTCAAAAGAAGGATCTTGATCTTTAGCAGACTTAATCGGAGTAAGCAATGCAACTAAGAAATCATTCTGAGGTTCTTTATCATGTGATATAGAAGACTTCAGTCTAAGGCTTGAATTCCTTCTATATTTTCGTTGTTTGCAAAGAGAAGAGTCTTTAGTCGTTACTGGAATATCAATTAGATTAAGTGAAGAAAAGTCATTCTCAGAACGATTGCTGTTGATATTTTCAGTAAATTCACAATGGACCAGATTTTCAACAGAAACTGTATGGTCCACATTTTTCACCTGAGGAAGGGGATTATCAGCAATGGCTAAAAACCAGTCAATACCATCTTTGCATTCTGGAGTAGAAGGCATATCAATTATTGACTTTTTGACAAGGAAATCACATCCTTTGTCATTAGGTAGGATTGAATTTTTATGTAAATCTTTACCACTCAATCGCTTTAGGCCTGTGTGTTGAGAGTCACTTGGGGAATCAGAAGAAATATATAATTCAGCTCTGGAAACATCCATCACATTTTCAGTATTAGATAAATAGTTGATTGATTTCTTTCCAAGGTTTTTGGTTTCAGGACTTCCAACCAAATTGGCAAAACTTGAATTTGAAGGGTGATTATTCTCAAGTTCTGTAATCAGAAACAATTCATTATTGAAAAGCACATCTTATTTTTTTTAAAAGTGAATATGAATAAAAAAAAGTAGAGTAAGATAAAACATTTGAAATGGACTACCAGCAAAGAGAAGGGAAATGGTTATGCATACATATACAGGTACTTGGGAACAGAACATCCCCTGAAATATTTCTATACGGTTCCAAAGATATAACTTGTTCACTGGTTTGAAGAGAGGTTCATCAATCACTCTGGCATACTTGTGACATTCCCTTTGCAAATATTTTGTCAGTAAAAATAAGATTGTCACACTTGATTTGTTCTTCCATACTTTGGCTACTCTCAAGTAGAAATTAAGGGACTCATAGTTAACGTCCACCACTTCTGTGGAGCATTAGTGGGTGAATATTACATTATTTACATTAATTGTTTTTCTACAAAAATAAAAGTTTTCTATGTAACTGTAGCAGCATATTTTTATTTGAAATAAGCCCAATTAGTCCTGAAATATTTTTGTTTGAAAATCAAATATATATCGATATATTTAATTAAAGACAAGGGATGACGATAAGGAGTTCAGGCATAATGAATTGAATCATTTATATATTAATCAGTATTCAATTAGAGGGGATAATATGTGTATTATGTTAGGTTTTCAATATTTTTCTGTTTAATTTGGGGGGGGGGAAGTTTTGTATTTGCATTTTTAAAATATAAACTTCAAAAAAAAAATCACCATATTTTTCAGAGTATAAGACGCACTAAGATTTTGAAGAGGCAAATTAAAAAAAGTTTTTGCACTTTGCAGACCTCCCCAAAATGGCTCGTTTTTCACGAAAACGGGCATGAATAGCCTTTAGGCTTGTAGAATGTCCCTGGGAAGGGGGTGAAATGAGCAAAAAACACCCCATTTTTTGCAAAAACAGGCCTGTTTTTTGTCAAAAAAGGGCATGCAAAGCCTTTAGGAGGCTTATAGAGTGCTGCTGGTGGCTGGGGGGCAAAATTGAGCAAAAATGGCCCATTTTTCACTCATTTCTGCCCTGCCCAGCTCCCAGGAGCACTCTGGAAGCCTCCTAAAGGCTATACATGGCCATTTTGGGGAAGGGGCAGGATTTCAGGAGGCCAAAAATGTTGTTTTCAGTGAATAAGACGCACCCAGATTTTCAGCCTCTTTTTTGAGAGGAAAAGGTGTCTCTTATACTCCGAAATATATGGTATAATACGGTATAGGTATACAATATGGTGACAGTGCCACCAATTGTTTTCTTGTTTACATGACCCCATATGAAATTTACTAATACAAAGGTTAGTTATCTGAATCAGAGTAAACTTCCAATTTCAAGCAGTCTTGGGTTCTAATTGCCTATGGTTACATAATGCTAACAATATGTTAATGAGACAAAGAATTAAGGGCTTTGAAACTGGCTTATGCCTTTACTATAACTAATTTGTTTAGGTTCATGCATACAAATAATGGTGACTTCAGAACAGAAACTTCAATTTTCCTTCCTTCAACCTTGAAGACAGAAGAGAAGGAACCTGAAAAGCCAAATAATTATTTGTCAATCACTAAACTATGCATATTGTATAGAAAAGAAGATCAGCTTAGTTATTACACTGCTGTAGATTGTTATTCCATTAAATTTGGATGTTTTCCTTGGTATTTTGATATTTTAAAATTATTCTATTTTAAAATATCTTTAAATGTTTGTAAATAGCATATTTAAATGTTTTTATATATTTGCAGATTGCCCTAGGGAAGGAACATAGTTCCAAAACTCATTGGGCAGAAATAAGACACATATCAAATAAATCTCCTTGACAGTCCATGGGAACTGCTTTCTTTTGTCTAATCCTGCTGTTAATGTCGTCCATCTTTTTTTGGTGTTCCTCCAAACTGGGCAATCAGTTTCCATGTTTGGATAAAATAGGAAGCTTTAGTTAACTGAAGAATGTGAGTGTAATCATTCCGCACCATGAAGAGAAATAGGGAGAAAGTTCTGTCCTATATGTCTAAATGGTACCAAGATTTAAGTCAAGAAGTGATTGCCAAGACATCAATTCTAGATCAGCAATCATGATCCCAAGAGTTCAAACACAGAACTGAAAACACATGTCCATGTTCTAATAATTATTGTATTAGTAGTGCTCTTTTTAATAACAATACTAGCAATATCAAAACAATAAAACATACTAGGAGCACTAGCACTGTTTACAGCAGCATCTTTCTTCAATAAAATATTCCATAGATTCCTTATCTGTTAAGAGAGCACTACAGGGTCATTCAAAATATTTATTTTGTATTATCAATTACACATAACCGCTGGATATTTTTGAATGACATTTAGATTTTATTTCTAAAGTTTTGTTTTACCTGAAGTCAATGTTGAAGTTGAAGTTGTAGATACAACAGCAGGATCAGCGTCAGACATCTGAGATAACTGTGAAGCTAAAATATGAATTATTAGATTTATGTTAGGTTAGCAATTTCTAAAGACATTTAAGGCCAATATTAATATGTAGTTTCATATTCAATAGAATCAACATTTCATTACAGTGCTTTTATTATTTTGGATGCTTTAGTATTAAAAATCTACAAATTCTGAGGATTGCATTAAGCCATCATACTAAGCAATGGTTAAGAATTCAGCACGCTATAGCTAGGAAAATATCACACAAAAGAAACCATAAGTCTTCAGCTTAATATATCATCTGAATGATACATCTCCTCTAATCAAAATTGCCAGGGTTTTAAAAATATTTATTTACGGCTACATTCATTTGTTAGCTTGATAAATTCCGATTTCAGGTCAATAAATTCAAATAAAGCCCAAAATATTGAAAAAAGCTTTTCCATCCCAAAGATTGTATTGTTCAAGTTATCACGGAAATAAATAAAAATTCTTTCTCAGAAATAAAGAATTTAAGATTAACAATATGAACATTTTTAATGCAAAATAATATACTACATTTCCTTTGAAGACATTTTCACAGATGAAAAGTGCAGTCACCTTCCCCAATTTATAGTAAACATATATTATGCCTGATATAAACGAGCAGTAACAATATTCTTCTAATTGTCAGACACCAAATTTAGTCTTTCTATACTTTTAAAACAGTATAGTTACATGAGCAAACCACATCTATATTTTAATACTTCTCTATTTTCCTATTTTCTTCTACAGTGTTACATTTTCTAATGTTTTTACAGCACTTATGATTTTTTTTCATAATGTCTGCTTGAATACATTTATAGTATTCCTTTAAATTCCATTCTTTAAAATATCAATATAATCCCATTTAACTATCTAAAATGTATAGAATTCCAGCATTCCCCCCACTAATGTTTTATATAAAAGCTTCTCAATAGTTTATTTCTAATTTCCATTTCTTCTGTTGAGAATTTCTGGTTTTTCATTTTATTAGAGTAGTGGCAGCCAGAACTCAAGCAACCTTTATTTAATCAATCTATATAGGCAATCAGTTCAACAATGACTTTGGACAGTGATAAATCTATTACATCCACCCTGTGTCTAAAATATATGTTTGATTATAAAAACCAGTAACATTAATTTGTTAGGTCTAAAGAAAAAAACACATTCCAGCACATGGTTATCCTATTGTTTCAGAGATTTTATTTATAATTGCTCAAATAATGACTGAAGCAAGAGACCAAAGTAAGTCTGAAGGGAAAAATAAGATGCATTTCTTCATGAATAATATATAGATTCAATTTCATTTTAACAGCCTATTTTCTAACAAGGATGTGAGGATGGGAAAGGGGAATAGTGGCAAATGGAACCAATACTGATAAAAATCCAGCGATAAAAAGAAAATCTAATTCTGCATCCTACAAATGAAACACAACATTTATATCATACCAGTAGGGGAAACATTTTCTCTCTTCTCCTTCATGTCCTTTATTCTTCTCTCCATTACACTGCACTGATACTTTATTTTACTTGCTGGGCTGTACACCAGTGAACCATCATCTTCAAATAATAATACTGGTATGTCGGTTTCTAAAAAATCAATATAATTTTACATTTATGAAGAAAGAATATATACAATATTTTGAAAGGGTAACTAACATTTGGAGCTTGGACATTATTGTAACATTCTGAAAGCTTAAAATTAACTTAAAAATAGATCTACATTAAAATGCTGCAACATACAGGGATCTTCCAAAAATAAAGCTTTTGATCATTTCTAACCAACTCGACAGAATAATCTATTCTTTTTCCTGTAATGGACCCTTATAAATTCCTAATTTATTGTAGTTCAATAAAGCCATTTTCAACCAGATGCTCTTATTTTTTCAAAACAACCACCATTGGTTAGTACTTAACATAGTCTTATTTTTTTATTTTTCATAGTAACCATATACTATATTTATTATTGACATCAGCTGCCCAATATTTGGAATCAGATATAATATTAATGATTCACATAATCTGCAGAATGGAAATTTACTTTATACATAGATTGCTTCCAGTTTGGTGTAACACTTAAAAAAATAAAATGAAAAACATATTTCAAATATGTTACTTGATTTGCAATATCCTACAGAAATCTACCTTATGAAAAGGTTTAGAGACTAAATTGTGGGCTCTTAAAATTTGGAGAATGTCTTGAATATCACTTTTTCCATTCAAAATTAATGTTCTCGATAGTTATGTATAACCTTTTTTTCTGTCTGCAAAAAGTATAAAAGATTAATGTTGTTACTGTATCTAAGTACAACTGAAGAACTTCTTCCCCAAAGAAATTTGGAAAGAGTCAGCACACTGTCTGATCCTTGATCTCTCCTCTAAGCTGAGTCCTTGACTTATGACTGGTCACTTAAAAGCCATTTGAAATTACAACAGGCCTGTAAAGTACTTCTGGTTCTCATAAATTGTTGTGCCATCCCCTTGTAGTCACATGATCATATTTTAGGGTGCTTGATAACTAGCTCACTTTACTACTGGTTGCAGTGTCCTATGATCATGCAACCATAAGTTGCGACACCTTTTTCCATTTTTTGCTTCCCGCAAATAATTCCTATTTAAAAGAATGGATTTGCACTTATAACCGCAGCATTAATGACTGAATTTGCTTAATGATCAGTGATTTGCTGCAAATAATTTGTTGTAAAGTCAGGCAGTCATGTGGATGCCTCAACTTACAACCATAAATCCAGCTGCAGTTGTAAGCCAAGGACTACAATGAGACTCGGGAACTGATGAGAAAAAAAAGGTGAGGTGTGCTTTCTTTGTGTCAATCTTTCCCTCCCGTAAAATATTTCAGTATATGGAGGTAAGAAAGAAGGTTCAGGAATACCCCCTTTCCATGTTTTATATTTCTCTATGCATTTTACAGTGATCTTCCACATTTTAACATTAGCTCAAAGAGCTACTATAAAAATTGTGCTCAAGTGTCACCATATGATAGCAATATTTTCAGTGCAAAGGCTAAGAGAGTTAACAGTGCAAATGGATCATATACTTGCTTGTTGCTGCTCTTTGCATTTCTAATTCTTTAACCATAGTTTCCATTCTTTTTTGTAATCTACGATCTTTCTCCGGAGTTTTCCCAAATAAATCTTTGGGCTGCATGCATTTGTGCTACAAAATAAAGTGAGTCATTACACTGATTTGTAAGCATTGAAATAATACGTTAATATGAAACACTAGACTTATCCTTACTGCACCAATTCTACAAAAATAAAAAATACTTTTTACACATCACTGTAATATTTGTATTGAAATATCTCCACATGATGCAATACATTTTCAAAAGAAAATCTGGATCTAAAACAAAGGTTGAGTGGGATTATGGCAACCAATAGCTCCTTGCCTACTTTATCAAATTTTTATAAATAAGTTTATTATTATAATTTATTACTATAAATAATTATAAATTTTTACTAGAAAATCATTCCAGGTTAAAACAACAAATTATTTTAGTCTTTTTTGAACGTTATGTCTTACATCAATACATTGGGATATGAGATAATACTTAGTCAGTTTTAATCCTTTAGTCACAGAAGGCTTTTAATTAAGAGCAACGTGACTGCACTTAAAATAATAGGGAGTCACTATGCATATACAGACCTTTTTAATTAACTGAGGTAACCCTTGATCAGTATTTATTGCAGGATATAATGACTCATCAATATGCATTCCAACTTCTCGGCATCTGAGAAAATATTAAGAATACACATTTGGTTTAGTATTAGACAGATTTACTATTATTATTAATTGTTCTAAGTGACTGAAACCTTTAATATTTCTAACAAATCATGTTCAATTTCATACCATGTATATTTATCTTTACCTTATTTTTATCTTATCAAGATCCCAGAGAAGCAAAGCTTGCCTAGAAAATCCAGGTCAACAAATAAACCACTTGTTTGCTTGTAAAAGTCACATTGCAAATGCCATGTTATATTCATATTTAGATGGTTGAAGATAGAGCACACTATTATAAAAGAGCTAGCAGGCTACAAACTAAAAATATGCAAAGGCAGAGGTCACATTCCTCAGTTTTGCTGGCAGACGGAGCCTAAGACCAAGGCTTTATAGCAGGACTTAAAATGTCAAGCAGGTCAGTACTTTACATTCTGAGAAATGAAGGCCTTTGCTTCACTATGATCCCACCCATGAATGTATCAAAATTTCAGTTGCAGATAACAGAACAAACTATTCCTTGAGTTGACAATTTTCTGGCTCAGTACCTCAATTCTAAAAACCCAAAAACATAGAATCACCCAGTTGCCTACAGCAACCACTTCCTGCCAGGCATAACTGGAAATTCATATTTATAAGCATGCCAAGAAGTTCCAATCCTCTGTCATGCTTGATCTAATCAAATCAGCCAAGGGAAATTTGAAATCTGAACATTAGTCAGTAACAGAGAACAAGGCAAAATAATTGCCAAAGAGATTTTTTGATTGCTTTCCATAATCTTTCCCAAGGATCCATAGCCTGCTTATAGCAGTTAATATAATGTATGGGTGACTTATAGGACATCTAGTCAGACTATGTAGTATATACGTATAAAACTTCGAAATATAAAGTGACACTTAAAATAATTCTATAGAACACATCTAGATATAAATAGCATCTGAATATTTGCTGAAATATTGATTTTTACTGTGTTGATGCAGAACAATATTTTTCAAGAAAAGCATGTCTCAATTCCAGAAATCTGAAACAATGTAACTCCTCACTTACTGACTATTTATTCAGTGATTGTTTGAAGTTATGACAGTGCTGAAAAATAACTTTATGGACCATTTACAACTTTTGCAGTGTCCCTCAGTCACATGAACACCATTAGTCAGTATGCATAGTCCTGTGCCTGACCTATGTTTTTTCTCCCCTTAAAGAGCAGGGATATTGGAAAGTAAGGGATTTTATTTATTTATTAAATGTGTTCGCTCACTGTGATTGCAAGAAAGTAAACTACAAATCTACACATTGAAAACATGCAATCATACTGGCAGCCTGGGCTGGGAGCTACAGACATTCTATGCAAACAGCTTATAGTATTCTCTTGAAATCTCTTTCTCTCCAATCTCTGTATTTATGGGAGGGGGGAAGAAGTGAGAAAAAAAGCAAGCAGTTTCTGTAGGAAATCTGTCTTTGCCTGACCCTTTTTTGCTTTTGGCCTGATCACATTGCTTCCAATGTATAGAAGAGGAAACAGTTTGTTCTCTTGAAATCTCTTCTCTCCAATCTGGTGGGTGGGTGGGTGTGTGTGTGTGTGTGTGTGTGTGTGTGTGTGTGTGTGTGTGAGAGAGAGAGAGAGAGAGAGAGAGCTACAGTACTTTATATTGTTTACAAATACAAACACATTTCTTATTTTACAACAATTATTACACATAATTTGGGTTACTTACCAAAATACCACTTATTCAGTGGTATTTATAAAGATACATTCATTTTACAATATTTCTCATTTTTATTTTAAATTAATAATTGTTAGTTTTGTTTGTAACATTTGCCATAAACTGCTCAACTCTAATGAATATTACAACACTTCATTTTGTCTACTTAAGAGAAGCAGGGAGGCAAAGAGTGAATACTGGAAAAAGAAGAAATGAGAGTATTAGTAAAAGAAAGAAATGTACAATGTTATTCTCTGCCATATCAAGAATAGAAACCACTAATAAAAATGAAAAAAGCACCCAGAATGCAAATTCAAAGTCTTCCTAATATTCTTTCCCATCTTTTGATATGTTATTTCTTGAATTGGTATACTTCTAAATACAGACTTATTTCTTTCACAGGAAAATATAGTTAATCCTAAACTTATGAACATAATGGGGACCATCCTATGATTGGCATTTGCAATTTTCACTTCTAGATTTGACAAACAAAATCAAATGGCAAGAGCCAGCAGGAAATGGGGATCATGCAAAAACACAAAGATGCTGCAATCATGTGGGATTCACCTAATAATGGCAACTGAGACTGCAGTCATGTGTCTATGCCTTACAACCATGTGGCTGAGTAACAGAGTTGCCAATCCCAACTGCCATTTGCAAACAAGGGCTATCTTTAAAACTATAAAAACATGAAATTGCATTGAAAACATTCAAAGACACTAGCAATGGGATTTTAGTGACATCTAGTGATCTTACAGATGAAACAGTATATGGCAATATTACATAAGAAATTTGACATACTTTACTAGTTAAGATGAAAACTTATATTTATTTATTTATTAGACTTATATACCGCTTCATAGGGCTTTCAGCCCTCTCTAAGCGGTTTAGATTTTTTTAGCAAATTGAGTCAGCAACTTGCCCCCACAGTCTGG